TGGTATAGCTAGCGAGAGCACACGCAGGCGCCTCCTAAGAGAACATGAGTTAACTCTAAACACAGCCATTGAGACGTGCCATACAGCAGAGCTCACTGACAGACGTCTGAAAGTTATGGAACAGGACAGACAGCAGACCGACAGCATAAACATTGCAATGCAGCATCGCAACATAAACAAACTTCAGCAACGCTGCCTGATTAGCACAAATACTGCCAACCCTACAGCTTGCAAATACTGTGGGACTGTGCATCAAAGAATTAAAGAGCAGTGTTTAGCTTATGGGAAGTCTTGTAAGTCTTGTGGAAGAACAAACCATTTTGCTAACGTTTGCTTGTCAAATAAACGACGGCCTACAATAGGCAAATTACAAAACGTGGAGAACACATTCGCATATGAGGAAGAGACACACAGCACTAAAGTTAAATACAGCAGTGAATTGATCAGCGCTGTGCAATCCAAAGAAATGGTTTGTCACTTTACATTCAGGAGCAACGTGTGATGTAATGTGCTTAAGAGACAAAATGGTGTTAGCACCAGAAACACGTCTACTGCCAAGTGACACCAGATTAAAGTTATACTCAGGTGCAATTATGAAATCTCTAGGGCTCTTCAAGACAGAATGTGCCATACGTGGACTAACACACAAGCTGGAGTTTGACATTGTGGAAGCCTGCCAAAAGCCACTGTTGTCTGGCTCAACCTGTGAGCGTCTAGGGCTGATACGTTTCTCCATCCCTGCAGAGCTTAATGTGATGGACAATCTATCCAAGGGGCCCTTAACAAAACAACTGCTGCTAAAGGAATTTAGTGATGTGTTTACTGGGCCGGTAGAATGTACCAGGGGAAGTTCATTTCGACATTGATATGAGTGTCCCTCCAGTCCAATGTGCACCACGCAATGTGCCGGTGGCATTAAAACAGGCAGTTTAGGCACAGCTTGACCAGTATGAGGCCAATGGATACTTGGCACCAGTGACTGACCCAACTGACTGGATAAGTAACATGGTGATTGTAAGGAAGCCAAATAAGCTACGAATATGCATAGATCCTAAATTCTTAAATATGGCACTGAGACGATCTCACTACATCATGCCAACTCTTAAGGATGTTTTGTACAAGCTGCCTAAGGCATGTCTGTTCATGCTTGTTGATGCCCGGGATGCATTTTTACAGTGTAAGTAAGTTGGATGATGCAAGTAGTTACATGACAACCTTCTGGACTCCGTGGGGCAGGAAAAGATGGCTCAAACTGCCTTTTGGAGTATCAGTTGCACCAGAGGTGTATCAACGTAAACAAACATGAACTATTGGCTGGACTCAGTGGTATTGAACCAATAGCTGATAACATCCTTGTGGTTGGCTGTGGAGACACAGAGGACGAAGCAGAGCAAGATCATGATGGCAAACTGCTGGAACTGCTGACTCATTGTAGGCAGGTAAAATTGAGACTTGGCATGAAAAAGCTGCAATTCAAGGTCAAAGAGGCCTGCTTTCATGGACACATTCTAACCTGGGAGGGTTTGAAGGCTGACCCAGAAAAAATCAGAGCCACACTGGATATGCCGCAGCCAGCAAATGTGAAATCCCTGCAGCACTTCATTGGATTTGTTACCTACCTAGCAAAATTCCTACCACACCTCTCAGAGGTCTGCGAGCCCTTGAGAAGGCTTCTGGACAAGGACGCTGTTTGGCATTGGCTTCCTAAGCATGATAATGCAGTGCAGGACATCAAACGCTTGGTTACGGACACACCTGTCCTGAAGTACTATGACGTTACAAAACCTGTAACTATTCAAAGCGATGCAAGCAAAACTGGACTTGGGTGTTGCCTATTGCAAGCTGGCCAGCCTATCACTTTTGCTTCAAGGGCACTGACTCTTACTGAGCAAAACTACGCACAAATAGAAAAGGAATGTCTGAGTATAGTGTTTGCCTGTCAGCGCTTTCACCACTACCCCTATGGGCGTGACGAGATCACGGCAGAAACTGACCATAAACCTCTGATCTCTATTTTCAAGAAACCACTTTTGTGTGCACCCAAACGTCTACAGAGCATGTTGCTCACGTTACAAAACTATTGCCTAAATGTTGTCTATAAACCTGGTCCTGAAATGTATATTAGTGACAGCAGCAGGTGGTACACCTGAGTATGCACAACACACAGTTTGCAATGTTCAACGGGACCTGGATGTCCTGTCACAAATTAATCATTCAGACTATTTAAACGTCATGGACCAACGATTGCTTCAGATAAAACAGCACGCTGAAACCGATGAGAGTTTGCAGGCTCCAAAATATGTTGTTCTGAATGGTTGACCTGATTCCAAGTTGGAAGTGCCATTACTTGTGAGAGAATATTGGACTTTCAGAGATGAAATCGCCATTCAAGATGGTATACTGTACAAGGGGCCAAGGGTCATCATTCCTAAATCTTTAAGATCGGAAATGCTGACTCGTATTCATACCAGTCACATTGGCGAAGAAGCATGCTATAGGCAAGCACGTGATACCCTATACTGGCCCAACATGCAGAATGAGATTAGAGACTTTGTTAGCTGTTGCTTGGCATGCAATGAATATGCGCAGGCACAACAGAAAGAACCTATGATGTCGCATGTGCTGCCCACCCGGCCTTGGCAAATTGTAAGCATGGACTTACTGAATTATGCTGGGCAGGATTTTCTACTAATTGTTGATCACTATTCCGACTTTTGGGAGATTGAGCTACTTCCTGACCTGTCTGCTGATACTACCATCAAGCATTGTAAAGCACAGTTTGCACGTTGTGGCTAGCCAGATAGGGTAATCTCGGATAATGGACCTCAATTTGCATGTGAGCAATTCAGACGGTTCTCTACAGATTGGGGATTTGAGCATGTTACCTCATCCCCGAGGGCACCCGCAAGCCAATGGCAAAGCGGAATCGGCTGTCCAGATAGTGAAGAATCTTTGTAAGAAGGCCAAGTTTGATGGTACCGATCCGTGGAAGGCCATTCTACATTGGAGAAACACCCTATCTGAAGGCATTTACAGTAGTCCTGCACAGCGCTTGATGTCTAGGAGACTGAAGACTTCATTGCCTATGGCCAACAAATTACTTGATCCTTGTGTGGTTACAGGTGTCCCGGCGAAACTGCAGAGGAGGAAACAAATTGCCAAACTGTCATACGATGTCTCTGCTAAAGACTTACCTGAACTAAGCATTGGAGAGCCAATCCGTATGAAGCCGCTTCCAGGTGACAGGACTGGTCGCTGGAGACTGGGTTCCTGTGTTCAGAGGGTTGCTCCTCGATCATATCTTGTGGATGTAGAAGGCAGTCTTTACTGCCGCAATCGAGTGGACCTGCGAAGGGCAGAACGATTCACCGCACAAGCCTATGAGCATCGTGCACATGATCCTCCTGAGGTGCTCAATGCCCCGAGTCCTACTGGACCATATACTCAAAGCAGAGAGAACTGTGCTGTCATATCGGGATACAATGAGGATGACATAATGCAGCCACATATCCCGTCAAGTTTTTCTCTGCCAAACACACCAGCCAGGAAAGAGGGTAGCTCCTTAACACCTTCTGGAGCTGAACGGATTTCCCCAGGCAAAATCCCTGTGACCTTGCGTAGTGGTCAAGTTTCAAGACCACCAGATAGACTCAATCTGTAGTGTATCTACCAGTAACACAGTATGCCATGTTCAAGACTGTTCAGGATCTGTTTTAGTTTAATTGTTTACAAGGTTTGAATTGAATGTAAAAAAGGGAGATGTTATAGAGTTATTATGCAAATACTGTGACCCTACTTGCATATAGTAATATTGCATTGCCTTATACTTCCTGCTTCCTGTTCTATGCTGACCTGGATGTAGTTCTGTTGTACAACATGATTCCTCACACCAGCAGCTTGTGTTGTCTGCATTCCTGTACATGAAACAGTTATGGCCTGGACTTACTGTGGTGTCTTGCAGCCCCAGGAGCCAAGATAGGAAGAAGGCCTCTTCAGCTCTTTGTCCTCCCAGTAGGCATACCCCACAAAGTGCTCTTTAGTGATGAGGTTACACCTGATGGTAATCCTATTGCCCTGGACCTATAAAGCACCCTGCAGCTGACTCATCATGTTGCACTGTGTGCCTAGGTGAAATGGGCCATAGCAACCAAGCATGTTCCTGGTGTACCCAAGCCCTCTCAGCTGGCATCTGCATGGAGCTCGTATGGCTTGGAGGGGTATGTGTAAGCCAACACTGGAGCATGCGTTAAACTTCGCTTCAGCTTAATAAAAGCCTGCTTGCACTGCTGGGGCCCCTTTTGCAGAGGGCCCTTACTTGGTCCATTGGTCTCTCCCTCCATATTCTTCAAGAGGTCAGTGAGGGGTGCAGTGGTCTTAACCACTTGCCTACCAGGCACTTATACCCCCTTCCTTACCAGGCCAATTTTCAGCTTTCAGCGCTGCCGCACTTTGACAATTGCGCGGTCATGCAACATTGTACCCATATGAAATTTTGATCATTTTTTTCTCACAAATAGAGCTTTCTTTTGGTGGTATTTAATTGCCTCTGGGCACTTTACTTTTTGCGCTATAAATAAAAAAAGTGCAAAAAAATGTGAAAAAAAAAAATTTTTTTTCTTTGTTTCTATTATAAAATTTTTCAAACAGGTATTTTTTCTCCTTCACTGATGTGCGTTGATGAGGCAGCACTGATGGGCACTGATAGGCGGCACTGATGGGCACTGATAGGCAGCACTAAAGGGCACTGATAGGCAGTACTAATGAGGTGGCAGCACGGATAGGCAGCACTGATAGACGCACTAATGAGGTGTCACGGATAGGCGGCACTAATATGCAGCACTGATAGGCGGCACTGATAGGTGACACTGATGATGGGTACTGATAGACGGCACTGACTGGCATCACTGCTGGGCACTGACTGGCACAACCCCTGGGCACTGACTGGTGGCACTGACTGGCAGCACTGCTGGGTTGCACTGGTGGGTGGCACTGGTGGGTGGGCACAGGTGGGTGGGCACAGGTGGGTGGCACTGGTGGGCACAGGTGGGCACAGGTGGGTGGCACTTCTGGGCACAGGTAGGTGGCACTTCTGGGCACAGGTGTGTGACACTGCAGAGTGGCACAGGTGGGTGATCTGCTGGGCACAGGTGGGCGGAGCTAGTGGGCGCACTGCTGGGCACAGGTGGGCAGAACTTGCAGGTGGCACTGCTGGGCACCGATCATCAGGGCACTGATCATCAGTGTCCTGATGATCGGTGCCGATCCCCGCTGTGACAACTGCCGGTTCTCGGCAGTACTTTCCTCACGATCTGACAGCGTGAGGAAAGTGCAGCCGAGAACCGGCACTTGCATTTCCCTGTGATCAGCGTGTCATTGGACACCGCTGATCACGTGGTAAAAGGCCGCTGGGATCGGCCTTTTACCACATCACGTGATCAGCTGTGTCCTTAGGACACAGCGATCACGGAGATCGCCGGGTGCGCGCCCCCTGGGGCGCGCAGGAGAGCGCGTTCTGGGGGGACGTCATATGACGTCCACCCAGAACTGGCCGGCCGCAGTGAAGCCGTCATTCGGCTATCTGCGGTCAGCAACTAGTTAATGTATCCCTCTACAAACCAACGGCAATATGAACAGAATCCAAGGAAATCAATTCAGTGATGTTGTCGGACAAGGCCAGGTAGTTACAGCTTCCATCTTGCTGGGGTCAGTGGCCACACCTTCTGCAGAGAAGATAACGGAATTCTGGTAAAATTGGCACTTCTCCAATGACAATTTCAGGCCTTTTTCATGGACCCTCTAGAATACTTTTTCCAACCGCTCTTCATGCTCTTCTAAGATTCTCCTGAACAGGATTATATCATCCAGGTAAACCAGGACCTCAGTTAGATTCATATCCCTTACTGTACACTCCATCAGCCTCTGGAAAGTGGTGGGCACTCTGGATAGGCCCTGGGGCATACAATCAATTTTGGAGAACCCTAGGGGACTGATGAAGGCAGTCTTCTCCCTATCTTCAGGGTGCATAGTGGATTTGGTAGTATCTACTCTTCAGGTCCAGGACACTAAACCATTTAGCTCCCAATAAGCACTGCAATGCATCTTCAATCCGTGGAGTTGTGTATGGATCCAGAATGGTCCGTTTGTTCGTTTGTTCAGTGTTCAGTATTCAATGCACATTTGCAGCCTACCATTGTTGTTCCGTACCACTATGATAGGGGAGGTATAGGGGCTCCTGGACTCCCAGATAATCCCAGCCCTCTTTACTCAGCCAACATTACCGTGAGGTCTTCTAGGTCTCCCAGACGGAACCATCAGGCTTGCTCTAAAAACTGCTTATCTTCCTTGAGCCAAATTCAAAGCTGAGCACTTATGGCGCACCCAACATCATAGTCCTTCCTGGAAAACACTCTCTCCCAACTTGTCAACCTATCTCTTGCTTTTTGCTTCCAATTCTCTGACATAGGGGAGTCTGGAAGGCCCAACCCTCCCCTGATAGCGTCATCTGGTGACTCAGGCATGCTGGGGTGGCCACATTCACTTGCCTCAGCAGTGCCCTAGGTTTGAGGGTCATGGGGTCTGTTGTGTTGTTACAAACTTGAACAAGAGCATTACCTGTTGTGTTGCAGAGCCTTCATAGTGATCACCTCTGGAAGGATCTCTACCCCAGCCATCTCTCTGTTGTTCTCTGTTTCCAGCACCACAAAGGGCCCCCAGCTTGTCCCAGCTCAATTTGACTTGGGCCCTCAAACAGGTGACTTCCCCTGGCTGGAGCACTTTTTCTTCAGACCCATTCTTCCAAAACTTCCCCACTTCCTCTCCTGGATCCCACAACTATCTGACAATCCTTTGATAGACTCTGTTGTGAGTGGATGCTCTCTATGGGTACTGTGTTCTGCTCAGCCAGTGGAGTAAGGAGCTTGTGTACCAGGTTGGTATTAGTCCCAATTAGTAGGAAGCACTGCTTTATCCCTGAAGGCCTGGGGCAGACAATAGTCTGCCAGCATATCAAAGATCTCTGTTCTCCAGGTTAAAACAGAGCTGAATACCAGGCGAATAGGTATGTAACCATCATATGAGTATTTCTTGGTCCCGATTCCCCAATCTGTAGCTCTTCTAGCTTCCGTAGGGGTATGTGCTTCAAGTGTTTGTCATAGCAGTCCCTATAGAGCAGGGTCACTTGAGCTCCAATATCCAGCAAAGCTTTGGTATAGACTCCGTCCACTTGAATGGAGACTATTGGGGATGGGCCTACTAGGTCGTCTGCAGGTCCCTTGGGTTGAGGCTTTGCGCTTCTGATCTGGGCTTTCCTGGGTTGAATCGCTCTCTTAGGGGTTGACTTTCCCACCTTTCTGGAGTGGTGTGTATCAATTCCCCTTTTTAGGGTCCCAGTCAATGGAGTTGGGAGCTGAATTGGCTCTAGGTGACAACTAATGGCAGATGTCTGAGTGGTTTTAGTCTCTAAGGACTGTGTTCCCTGAGAATTGGAGAGCACAATTTTCTTTGAGTCTTTAGCTGGCTCCTTCACTGAGGCCCCTGGAAGTTTTCACCCTGGTGTAATGTCAGCTGCAGGATGTTAAAACTAACAAAAGATGGCAGTGTGGGCTGAAGTAACCAATGGCAATGGTAGTAGGTGTTCCTTTAACCACTTCAAGTCTGGACACTTTCACCCCCTTCCAGTCCAGGCCAATTTTCAGCTTTCAGCACTATCACACTTTGAGTGACAATTACTCAGTCATGTAACTGTACCCATATGAAATTTTTATAATTTTTTTGAGACAGAGCTTTCTTTTGGTGGTATTTAATCACCATTGGAGGTTTTTTTTTTTTGCTATATAAATGAAAAAATACAGAAAATTTTGAAAAAAAGTTTTATTTTGCTTAGTTTTTGTTAGAAAATTTTGAAAATAGATAATTTTTCTTCATAAATTTAGGCCAAAATGTATTCTGCTATGTTTTTGGGGTAAAAATAAGCCAAAACAGTTCATATTATTTAGTCTGTGTGAAAGCTATAGAGTCTACAAACTATGGGATAGATACTTAAAAATTGATCAGTTGAGATCCTAAAATGCCGGACGCTGATATGGCATATGGCAGTGATCAGGACACTGGTATTGGGTATGGCGGTGATCAGGACATTAGCAAGAGGTATGACTGTGATCAGGATCCTGTTGTGGCAGTAGCCAGGATGCTGTTATGGGGTATGGGGGTTATCAGGATGCTGTTATGGGGTATGGCTGTGATCAGGATGCTGGTATAGGGTATGGCGCTGATCAAAACACTGATATGGGGTATGGCAGTGATCAGGATGCTGATATGGGGCATGGCGGTGATCAGGATGCTTTTATGGGGTATGGCGGTGATCTGGGCACTGGTATGGTGTATGGTGATGATCAGGGCACTGGTATGGCATATGGCAGTGATCAGGGTGTTGGTTTGGGGTATGGCGGTTATCAGGACACTGGTAAGGTGGTGATCAGGACATTGGGATGGGGGTGTTCCATCCGGCACTGTGCCCCTGGTCACCTGTTGACAGACTGTGTCGCTGAACAGGGCAGCAAGGCTAGTGGTCAGCAACTCCTCCTTGCCTCTCTCCTCTCTCTATCTCTGTGGCCCTGTCTGGTTCCCTGGCAATCTGCTTCAGCTCTCCAGCTTTCTCCCCTCTCTCTTCCTGTCCAGTCTCCTGTGCTTCTGTATATATCTGCCCTGCCCACACGCCAGCTCTTCTAGGAAAAGTAGTCATCTGACACGCTGCCCTCAGCATATAGGGACTGAATTGCACTGAATTGCAGCCATCTTCTGTTGGTTTTAACATCCTGTAGCTGACATTACAACAGGGTGTTATAGATTTAAATTTAGTTTTTGGCTCCGTCTGTAATCAAGGGAACAGTGATTGTTTGTTTTGGGCTGCTCAGGGTTTTACAGGCTTTGATTGCTTCCCCCTACCTCTGGGAGAAGCTTCCAAAGCTTAGGGAGGGAGAGGCAAATAACCATCCTGAATATTTATCATGCTCCAGCCAATCCCTGGAGAGGAGGGTTCACTCAGCTCATGGACTGTACAGCTGTTCTGGAGGCCTCAGTGTTCTTAAATCTGAGGGCCTGGATGGACTTTGTTAGAAACTGATTGCGGAACCTCACCACAAGTGACCTGTTCTGGAGAGGTGCCATTTCACTCACTGGACCATGTCCAGAGTAAGCTGGAAGGTGGCAGCTGTCCCGTGGACTGGAGTAAAGACCCTAAATTGATCTCTGTGATTGTGTAGTATTCTGCAAATTGCACTGGCTACCAGCAGTTGTGCACCAGCGCAAGGTAACCTGGTGCCATAAAGACTTTCCCCATGGTCTTCAGCTGAGGGATCTTAGACTACTCAGAAACATTTCTTATGGTCCTCAGCTGTGGGGTAATAAACTGATCTCTATTTACATTTACCTATGGAGAATATTATCCCCTAGTGGGTGTTTGCTAATCATATTGGAGTATTCTATGCCCTAGCCCCTCTCCTGCTAAAGTTTCTTCAAGCAATAAATCTTAATAAATCTCTAGACTGCTTTGTTGGAGCCAGAATGATTAGATTGATGCTTGGGTGACTGGTGGCCTCTACACTATTGGGGAGAAACCAGTTAATATCTCCGGCTCCTATGGGAGGTAGTAGTACACACGTGGTTGCAGTGCGCTTGCAGAGCAGCACCATTCACTTGAATAGGTCACGTTCGGCAGGGGCTATGCCTGCTGAAAGTGACAGGGAGCAAAGTTCCTGCTGAAGCGGTGTCATGTGTACACCCCTCCACATCTGCAGCTAGGGGGGTAGAGGTTGGGGGTGGTCAACCACCCTCCATTCTTGTGTGAACAAGCCTTAAAGTATAATTTTACACAGGTACTCTGGCTGTGTAAATGAGCGGTTTGCCCATGAGCCTGGACTCACAGGTTACTCAATGGAGACACAGCCAAAGGTCCGAATTTGACTGGTGTACAAATCTGGTTGAGTAGCCCTGGATGCACACTGTTTGTTTTCGGGGCCATACACCTGCACCCACACACCTATCACATTAAGACCTGCAGCTGTGTTTGTACAGCTTATAGTGCAGCGCTACTGAAATATAATTCCATTATCAACTCATGCAAATAAACATATTAGTAAAAATAAATGATCAAAAACCAATACCACATGTGCTCCTATTACAGATGTATAGTATAATAAGTGATCTATAATCCTGTTACTGGCCTGGTCAGGTAAAGTGCCATTAATGAGCTGGTAACTCAGTAGTCATTCCACACATGTGTAAACATATCCCCCTTTTGAATCACACACTGCAAACGTGATCAGTGTACATATTAAAGTGACCAACTTATATATTAAGAAATAATGCAAAAAGTTCATAAATGGTTTAAATTCGTGCTCCACTTTATAACAGTCATTG